GCCTTAGCCACTTGAGCCACAGGCGCCGAGCCATAACTCAAACTTCTGTGTAGAACGTAGTTCATCCTGCTTGATAGTAGTTAGAGGTGTACTTGACTCTCCTGTACTAAATGATGTCACCTTGTGGATTTAGACCAGGTCTTACTTTTTGTGCGCAGTGCACAGTTGAGTTGATGTCTGTGTTAGAGCTAGACTAGACTAGCTAGACTAGGTTGCTCCACATCTGTATCTTGTGTCCTTGGTGTTTTTTTAGGGTTTTCAACTTCTTATTTCCTTGCAGAGCCATGACGAGGCGAAGACAGTATGGAGAAGTTGCTAATCTCCTTCAGGGTGTAATGAATGTCCTGGAGCACTTCCACAAGTATATGGGAATCCCACAGATCCGGCAGCTGTCTGAGAGGTAAAGTGTCACTGGAGAAAAATGCTCTGCCCTTGAGAAAAAGTAGTGCCCAGGAAGTGCTTATGCATTTAACTCAGCATGTTCATTGTAGCATCTAATTGTATGAAGGAAGCTGGATGTTTCCTGATCTAACGCTATCTGATACAGGCACCGCCACTATGATAGCCCTTACCGTGTCTTATAAGCTGCCTATAGTACATAGTTGCAGCTGTACACGTGGGCAGTTCTCAGTTGTCTGCATTTGTGAAGGCAACTGTTCCAGATATCTATTTCCTGGTAACAAACTACCACAAAACTTAACAGCTTAAAACGCTAATTATTTTGCTTATGTAATTTGGCCTGGCTCAGGGGAAACAGCTTGTCGCTGTTCCGTGCAGCATCAGCTGAGGCAGCTTGAGTGGGGAAGCATCTTTTTGCTCACTCTCACGGCTAGCAAATTGGTGATTGCTGTCAGGTGGGGCTCAGCCAGGCTGTGGGTTGCTTGGATTTCCTCACAGTAAAGTGACTGGGTTCCAAGAATGATCATCCCGAGAGAAATGGGCTTGGAAATCACATAGCATCTCTTCTGCTATACTCACAAGACTCTAAGATTCAAGAAGGAGGACAGTCTTCTTTCACCCCGTAGTAGGCATGTCAGAGTCACATTGGTGAAAAGAATACATGGAATGGCATAGACTGCTGTGGCTTTCTTTGGAAAAATACAAGACACCACTAGGACTTTAGATCTAACCAAAAAATGACTTACCTTATTCTTTGCTTCCTATTACTTTTTTTTTTTTTTTTTTTAAAGAAACATGGTCTCACTTTACCACCCAGGCTGGTTTTGAACTCATGGGCTCAAGCAATCCTTAGCCTCCTAAGTAGCTGGGACTATAGGTGTATGTCCCCAGGCCCAGCTCTCTTTCCTACTACCATTGGGTTTTAATAGCAGATTGACATCTAATGGAAAGAAAGTCTGATGCTTTGAGAGAAGGTAGATGAGGATTCTCAAAGAGGATGAGGGATGGTGAATTCAGTGACTTTTCTGAGAACACAGTGACAATCACCATCAACAAATCCTAACAACCTTCCTTGCAGCAAAGAAGAAATAAAGGGCTAGAACTTAGCTACAGCCATCATTTTCAACTCTGCCTTCCTAATAAGTCCTGACTGCTGCAAGCGTTTTTTCCCTTAAGTTTCTTTATTTTTAATTACACAGGTATCTATGTTTTCTTTTGTTTAAAAAAGTCAAATATACAGATGAAACTTAAGTTCTCTTTAGCTATACCTCAAATCCTATTGTGCTCCCTAGAGGTAGTGACTGATACACGTTTAATGGCTATCTCCCCAGATTTTTATCTGTATATTTACATAAATCTATAGTATTAGTGAATGGTTTTGTTTTGCTTTAAATTTTCATGCCATACTTCATTCTGAAACCTCTTTTTATTTTCTTTTTTCTTTTGAGACACAGACTCACTCTGTTGCTCAGGCTAGCTCACAGCAACCTCAGATTCCTGGGTTTAAACAATCTTCTTGCTTCAGCCTCATGAGTAGCTGGGACTACAGGCACCTGCCGCATCACCTGGCTAATTTTTCTATCTTTAGTAGAGATGGTTGCTCTTGCTCAGGTTGGTCTTGAACTCCTGAGCTCAAGTGATCCTCCCACCTCAGCCTGCCAGAGTGCTAGGATTACAGTTGTGAGCCACTACACCCAGCCTTGTTTTTTGTTTTCAACCTATCAATATATTTTAGAGATTTCCTATATTCTATTTAACTGATACATAGAATTCCATAGAATAACATACTACAGGTTATTTATCCATTTTGCTGGCACTGTATTGTTTGTTTCTAATTTTTAAAATATATCATCGCCTTTTGCACATTTGCAAGTATTTCTCCTTTGCAAGTATTTCCTTGGATTCTGGATTACAAGGTTAGATGAGTATTAAGATTTTAATAAGTACTGCCCATTTGCCCTCCAGGGAAGCTTTATAAACCTATAAAACTGTATATCTGGGGCGGCACCTGTGGCTCAGTGAGGTAGGACGCCGGCCCCATATACCAAGGGTAGTGGGTTTAAAACCTGCCCTGACCAAACTGCAACAACAACAAAAAAATAGCTAGGCATTGTGGCAGATGCCTGTAATCCCAGCTACTTGGGAGGCTGAGGCAAGAGAATCACCTAAGCCCAAGAGCCGGAGGTTGTTGTGAGCTGTGATGCCCCGGCACTCTACCGAGGGTGACAAAGTAAGACTCTGTCTCTAAAAAAAAAAAAAGAAAGAAAGAAAGAAAACCTGTATATTTGCACAGTGTGTGAATACCCATTTCTTTGTACCCTCAACAGTACTCGATATTGTCGTTTTTCATTTTTATCTATTTGATGGAAGAAAAATGGTATCTAGTTCTTTTAATTTTCATTTCCCTGGTAGCTAATAAGATTACTATTTTTTCCATTAATGATTGACCATTTACATTTCCTCTGTGACGTGCCTGTTCACATCCTTTGCCTATTTGTCTTATAGAGTTATCCTTTTCTTATTGATTTGTAGGAATTTTCCATATATTCTGGATATTAATCCTTTGTCAGATCTAGGATTAGATCCTATCTGAAAAACCATCTGAGTGTGTTACCTGTTTTGAAGGCAGATCTTTGACTGTCTTTTCAATTTTTTCTGCAGTAATGAGTCTATTCAGATTTCCTACTTTTTAGTTTATAATTGTGGCAAAACATAAATGTAAATATAAAATTAACCATTTTAAATGTACAAAATAGGGATAGAAGTATATTCACATTGTGCATAATACCATCACAACTATCCATTTCCAGAACTTTTCCATTGTTTCAGACAGACTGCGTACCCATTAAAAAACAATTCCCCATATCTTCCTCTTCCCCAGTTCCTTGTAATCTCCATTCTACTTTCTGTCTCTGAATTTCCCTATTCTTGGTCCCTCATATAATCAAACAATATTGTCCTTTTGTATCTGGCTTAATATGTTTATCCATGTTCTAGCAGTATCAGAATTTTATTTTTATTTATTTATTTATTTTTTGAGACAGAGTCTCACTTTCTAGCCCTCGGTAGAGTGCCGTGGCAGCGTCACACTGCTCACAGCAACCTCCAGCTCTGGGGCTTAGGTGATTCTCTTGCCTCAGTCCCAAGTAGCTGGGACTACAGGCGCCCACCACAATGCCCGGCTATTTTTTCATTGTGGTTTAGCCCGGGGCCAGGTTTGAACCCGCCACCCTTGGTATATGGGGCTGACTTCCTACTCACTGAGCCACAGGTGCCACCCAGAATTTTATTCTTTTTTAAGACCATATTCCATTGTATGTACAAACCACATTTTGTTTATCTATTCATCTTTTTTTTTTTTTTAGAGACAGAGTCTCATTTTGTTGCCCTCAGTAGAGTGCTATGGCATCACAGCTCACAGCAACCTTCAGCTCTGGGGCTTAGGTGATTCTCTTGCCTTAGCCTCCAGTGTAGCTGGGACTACAGGTGCCTGCCACAATGCCTGGCTATTTTTTTTTTTATTGCAGTTTGGCCGGGGCCAGGTTCAAACCTGCCACCCTAAGTATATGGGGCTGGCACCCTACTCACTGAGGCACAGGCACTGCCCTATCCATTCATCTATTGATGGGCATTTGAGTGGTTTCCACCTTTTAGCTATAGTGTGATAGAATAGGCAAATCTTTTTTTTTTTTTTTTTGCAGTTTTTGGTCAGGGCTGTGTTTCAACCAGCTACCTCTGGCATATGAGGCTAGCGCCCTACCCCTTTGAGCCACAGGCGCCGCCCTGGCAAATCTTTGGTTTGTCATTCTGTGTTGCTTACTAAAGACCTGAAGTCAATCTCATTCTTATCCCCTTACAAAATAACCTATTTTTCTTTGGTTTTCTTTTGCTCTGGAGGCCTTTGAGATTTGGGGGCTAGGAGAAGTCAGGAATTTTACTAGGACGTAGGTATTTTTTTTTTTTATCTATGATGCTCTGTTCTTATTGTATTCTTAAAGACCCACAAATTTCTTCAATTCCAAGAAATTATTCTCTTTTGTTCCTTTATTTGAGTAGTCTCTAGGATTTTTCCCTCCATTCTTTCCCTATGGAATTCTTATTACATAAATAGTGGGAGTTCCGGGTCTGCTACCATGGTTTTTAATTCTTCTTTCGTACTTTCTATCTCTTTGTCCTTTGGGTACTTTCTGAAAGAATTCCTCAACTCAGTCTTCCTGTTTTTATTTATTCTTCACTTGTGCCCATTCTGCTATTTGGCCCAGCTGTTGAATTGTTTATTTGAACAATCCAGCATTTTAATTTCTAAGATATCTAGCTGTTTCTTTTTTCATGGGCATAATGTATTCTTAAATCTTCCTGAGAGTATAAATTATATCTGTTTTATTTTATTTTATCTTATTTTATTTTATTATTTTATTTTTTTGAGACAGAGTTTCACTTTGTCACCCTTGGTAGAGTGCTCATTGCTCACAGCAACCTCAAACTCCTGGGCTCAAGCGATTCACTTGCCTCAGCCTCCCAAGTAGCTGGGACTATAGGTGCCCACCACAATGCCCAGCTATTTTTTTTTTTTTAGAGAAGGGGTCTCGCTCTTGCTCAGGCTGGTCTTGAACTCTTGAGCTCAAGCAATCCACCCACTCGGCCTCCCAGAGTGCTAGGATTATAGGCATGAGCCACCGTGCCTGGCCCTAAATTATATCTATTTTAAAGCTTTGAGTTACCCATTCTGTATCTTGTCCTCCATCAGAAGGTCTTCAATTTGTTGAATATGGTGACTCACTTTCTTGATATTAGCACTCTTCAAATGTTTGGTGATTCTTAGCTGAAAGCTCATTTTTGTTGTTGATATTCTGTTAGTCTGATCAAGAATGCTCTTTCACCGATGCCTGCTCATTGGGGAAGAGGTAGCATGTGCTGCTTGGCTGAGTGTATTACAAATAGTGCTTCTAAAGTAAGGTGGGGCCAGACCTGGAGGAACCTGCCAGGTAGGTGTGCCAGTGG